CATGATGTACAACCTTCGTGAAGGCGATATCTGTACTGCTGACAGGACAAAGCTGAAGCAGGTCCAAGACTTTCAGTACCTTGGCTCGTGGGTTGATCAGTCAAAACAAGACCTGATTATCCGAAAAGCAAAAGCCAGACTGAGAGACCGTCGCCTTCGTTTCAGTGGGCACTGCTGGAGGAGCAAGAGTGAAATCATTTCACAAATGCTCTTCTGGGAGCCCTCAAGGGGCAAACGCACCAGAGGGCGCCCAGCAATGACTTACATTGACCAGTTAGCAAAAGACACCTGTCTACCAAGACAGGAGCTCCAAAGATCATGGAGAATAGAACTGAATGGAAAAAGCTTGTCAAATCAGTGCGAGTACGCTCGACCTAGTAGTAGTTACAGTTAAACAGGAACAATCACTGTTCTTTTAAAGATAAAATTGAAGAATTTGAAACCATCCTTGTTTATCGGCTTCTTTTATTCTTTGAATCCAACACAATTGTTGTGCTCTGGCAGATGACTGGTCCATTCCAAATAAATAATCCAGTGGTTGCAAAAACAATTTTGATTTTGTCGAGTAACAGCAACAGGGCCAGACGGAATCTCTGCCAGAATGTTGAAGGAAACCGCCGATCGGATTTCCCCTGCGATCACCCTGCTTTTCCAAGCCTCCCTTCATCAAGGATGCATTCCATCGATGTGTAAGAAGGCACTTGTAGTTCCCATCTACAAGAAGGGCTGCAAGTCATCCCCGGTTAACTACAGGCCGATTTCACTGACTGCGATCATATGCAAGCTGTGTGAGCATGTTGTTCACTGTGCAGTTATCCACCACCTCATCCATCATGACATTCTATCTGAAAATCAGCATGGCTTTCGGAAGCGCCGTTCTTGTGAGACACAACTGATCCTCACCATCCAAGACCTTGCTAGAGGACTGGAAGACAAGGGTCAGTATGATGTAATCCTACTAGACTTTGCTAAGGCCTTTGACAAGGTCTCTCACCAACGACTCCTTCTCAAAGCCAAACATTGTGGTATACACGGCCTTACTCTTCAGTGGATCGAGAACTTCCTGACTGGCCGTACCCAACAAGTCATACTGGAGGGCCAACTCAGCTCTGAAGCCAAGGTCACATCTGTCGTACCCCAGGGTAGCGTCCTAGGTCCATTGTTATTTTTTGATCTACATCAATGACTTACAAGATTGCATTAGGCATTCAACCACATGCCTTTATGCTGACGACTGTCTGCTCTACAAACCAATCAGACCGACCCAGGACTGTGACAAACTGCAAGAAGATCTAGACAGGCTCCAGGACTTGGAGAAGACGTGGAAGATGGAATTCCATCCCTCCAAATGCCAGGTCTTGCGAGTGACCAACACGAAGAAGCCACTCCTAGGCCAATACACCATCCATGGTCATCAGCTGGAGCAGGTCAACTCAGCCAAGTACCTCGGGGGTCCACATTGATCAGAAGCTGAACTTCAATGCCCATGTAGATGCCACAGTCAAGAAGGCAAACTCTGTCTGTGCCTTCCTGCGCCGTAACTTTCGACACTGCAACCAAAAGATCAAGGAGGCTACGTATGTCACATACACTAGGCCCATAGTGGAGTATGCTGCAACAGCATGGGATCCACACACCCAAAGAAACATCAACAAGGTCGAAATTGTTCAACGCAGGAGTGCGCGGTACGTCTGTGGCGACTACGATCGTACCAGCAGTGTTACATCTATGACGAACAAACTAAAATGGCCCTCGCTAGTTAGTGGACGTCTGCAAAGCCGTCTTGCAATGCTGTATCGCATCCGCTTTGGTCTTGTTGACGTTGAATGGCAACAAGGCCTTGAAGCAGCACTTTTCTTGGAAGAAATATAAATGTAAATGGTAGATACTTTTGCAAAATGGTTGAGACATTGAGAAGCACAACTTCTAATTCTTATTTTTATCCACAGGTTGCCAGATAATCAACCATAAACATTTGCACCTTACATCCAATGATTGATAAATGCATCATATTCTAATATGGATGCTCATTTGTTTTCATGATTTTCTTTCTACTTTGCAAATTAGTGTCATCAAGATGTATTTGGTATAAATGCATAGGTCCTTATTTTAATCAGAAAGCATTCCTAGCAAACTGTTAAGAACCACTCTAATTTTCTGAACACTAGGTGAGCCTTGTCATTTTGCTTAAGTTTAAAACAAAGTTTTGGAATGTTGATGATATTTGAAAAAGCATCCCCGGTAAAACAGCAGGAAAAGTAGAATGATAACTATTTTTTCTCAGATGTTTAATCTTATAGTAATTTATGTGATCTTATCCTAGTTTATGGCGACTGGCTATGGATCGAGGTCCCAATACTAACGGTTCCTTAACCATGGAAACAGGGAATCTGCTCAGTTCCATTAAAAAAAAAAAATCATTCTCAGAACAAAAAAATAAAGAATTAATTACGCTTTGTGGAAGCCTATTTAAATTTAATGAACCTAATAATATTAAATTTTATGCAATTATGCAAATAAATGTAAATATGTAACTATTTATAAATTATATGCAAACCATTTGTAAATATAATGTAGACTCTGTGATAGTTTAATTTGCTAATAATTCTATCATCAAGTTATATTACCATAAGGACTCGGGTAAGACACCAAGTAAATGTTCTCAATAATAGGCATTTTTAGCTATGAGTCAGATTATTCAGAGTTCTGGTGTTTCTTTGCCATTCTCTTGCCTAAATGTTAAATTTTCAATGTTTTATGTTATTTAAATATCTTAATAAATGCAATTTTTTCTGTGTTCAATGCAATAATGTAATAATTGTTAATTAATCTATAAATACAGTTATTGTTAGTATTATTGATCTAATTAATTGAATATTATTCAAATTGTAATAGTCTATTCAGTGTAGCTGCAGTTTGTACTTAACAACGGTATTCCAAAGTTTATTCTGAAATCTCATCATTTAGGCGAAATAAGATATATAGCTTTAATTCTATTTTTTTTTTAAATATTCGCAATTACACTATAGAATTTTAATTTATCCAATAATTCTAAGTAAGCCTATTGTAATATTGTAACTATGAAATCAGTATAACTGCATTTTTTTAATTAGTAATGATATTCAAAAATTCATGTATTCATTTGTGCAATACACCCTATTAGTAAGCTGTGGAATATGGAATTTGCAACTTGAATTGACACAGTGATTCTCATATCATTGTGTATGTTTTTGCTTTAAATCCATCACGCTATATGACCGAAGCTTATTTTTATATTTTTACATGGACGAATAAACAAATTGAATTGAAGTAAATGGTACAGTCAAGTTTGTTAACCAAAGAAAATGGTTAAAACACCAAACTTTAAGGAGAAGTCCACCCTGATTAGAAGTTGGTTTTAACAGAAGCAGAAAAATTAAAGAAACAGATCAGTGAAGGTTCGAGCAAAATACAAGAAGAAATATTAAAGAAAATTATGAATTTTTGAAGTTGTAATCAAGCAAACATAAATTGGCAACACCGTGACGTATATTGTGAGCTACTCTAAAGAAAATATTTAATCATACATGCACCTTAATTATATAATCATTGCTCATATGTTCCTTGACCCCTAAACATGAATAAGGGCACTAAAATCACTTTCTATAAGTATCAGATGAGAAATAGTTTTAAACATGCAACATTATGGCAGCCAATTTGACTTTTAAAAAGGGTTAATTGTATGCAAATTTATGCAAATTAGGAGTCAAGGAGTAGTTGTAAGCTGCTGATAATGCTATTATCTTGTTCCTTGACCCCCAAAACATCGGTAAAGACACTTCGTTAAGCTTTCTATGTGTCTCAGATCTAGAGATATAGTTTTAAACATGAACAAATGGCAGCCATTTAGAATTTAAAAGGGGTTTATTATATGCAAATTTATGCAAATAAGGAGTCAAGGAGTAGTTGTAAGCTGCTAATAATGCTATAATCCTGTTCCTTGACCCCCAAAACTTCGGTAAAGACACTTCGTTTAGCTTTCTATGCGTCTCAGATCTAGAGATATAGTTTTAAAAATGAAAAAATGGCAGACATTTAGAATTTAAAAGGGGTTAACTATATGCAAATTTATGCAAATTAGGAGTCAAGGAGTAGTTCTTAGCTGCTGATAATGCTATAATTATGTTCCTTGACCCCCTAAATATGGAAAAGGGCACTAAAATCAACTTTCTATAAGTATGAGATGAGAAAAAGTTTTAAATATGCAACATGGCAGCCATTTTGACTTTAAAAAGGGTTAATTATATGCAAATTTATGCAAATTAGGAGTCAAGGAGTAGTTGTAAGCTGCTTATAATGCTATTATCTTGTTCCTTGACCCCCAAAACTTCGGTAAAGACACTTCGTTTAGCTTTCTATGTGTCTCAGATCTAGAGATATAGTTTTAAAAATGAAAAAATGGCAGCCATTTAGAATTTAAAAGGGGTTAACTATATGCAAATTTATGCAAATTAGGAGTCAAGGAGTAGTTCTAAGCTGCTGATAATGCTATTATCATGTTCCTTGACCCCCTAAACATGGAGAAGGGCACTATAACCAACTTTCTATTAATATTAGATGAGAAATAGTTATAAGCATGCAACATGGCAGCCATTTTGACTTTTAAAAGGGTTAATTATATGCAAATTTATGCAAATTAAGAGTGAAAGAGTAGTTGTAAGCTGCTTATAATGCTATAATCATGTTCCTTGACCCCCAAAACATTGGTAAAGACACTACGTTTAGCTTTCTATGTGTATCAGATCTAGAGATATAGGCTAAAATAGGTTTTGAGTGTCTACCAGGGTCCGACATGGCGGCCATTTTGAATTTATGCAAATTAGGCACTGATCCACCACTACAATTTTTGTCAACTTTTAGTATGTTATTTTTATGTTTTTTCCAGATAATATGCAAGTGGAATCGTTTCTGTTGCAATTAGTTCTAGGTTGACCCCTTTTTTTTCATATCTTGACTGTACTATAAGGCCTTTATTCAAAACACTGAAAAATTTTGATGATAAATTTCACAAAACGACAGAATAAATAAATGCTATAAAATCTTACAAATATTTACACGCATATTTACATTACTATTTCTGATAGTTCATTGGAATGTTTAAATTTTCAGGGCATAACCCTACCTTGAGCCATAATAAAAGTCTCTTTTAATATCAGTCACATGTATCCACTCTATGTATTACAAGAACAGTTAATTGGCACAAATAGATCATGTATCTTATGATGTGTTTTAAATTATGATAAAAACGATAACATACATGTAACTATAATTTTTTGCTTACTTGCTAGATGAATAAAAAATTGTGATACTGTAGTGAGCACAGTAACCGAAAGTAAACACTAAATACAGTTCTCCTAAATGTATACTACCTTATTATTGCCATTTTAGCAAGGTGAAATTGAGAAATTGACATAAACTAAATACGCAATGAAGTTGACGTTTTATAACATCGTGCTTGAAACACTTTGATAGTTCGGTGCATAATTAATCAACTTAAACTGTCAAACAATAAAAATTCAATTTACAATTAAAACTGTCATTTAAAGAGAAGGTGTATTTCATCATGATCATCATGAGATCATGTATCTTATGATGTATTTTAAATTATGATAAAAACTGTGATAAAAAATTGTGATACTGTATTGAGCACAGTAACCGAAAGTAAACACTAAATACAGTTCTCCTAAATGTATACTACCTTATTATTGCCATTTTAGCAAGGTGAATTTGAGAAATTGACATAAACTAAATACTCAATGAAGTTGACATTTTAAAACATCCTGCTTGAAACACTTTGATAGTTTGGTGCATAATTAATCAACTTAAACTGTCAAACAATACAAATTCAATTTACACTTAAAACTGTCATTTAAAGAGAAGGTGTATTTCCGGGACAGGTAAAACATAATATGCGAGCTTCATCTTTGACCTCTTGAACCCCAACATTCCTCAGTTCATTTTTTCACACTCAGGTCAGGTCATCTAAGAGGTTTGTATCTTTGCGTTGCGAGGTTAGGCGAGTTCATGAACCTCCCAGGCGAATCTTCCATCAGCTCAATGTCATCAAACTGCTGCAGATGGAACTTCATCACCTGGTGGTGGGTCATCCGCTTCAAGGCAAAGTAGCCCCCGACGACGTCAAAGGCGAGGAAGGATAGGAAGATGATGTGGACCGCTCGCTCGATGGGGAACGGCATCGCCCGGGAGTCGATGAGGAGGTAGAGGATGAGCGGGAACTGGAGGATGAGCGTCAGGAGCCAGAAACCTGCCAGCTCTGGCACCTGTGTTAGGAAAGAAAGAAAGAAAGAATAAGAGTAAGTTTCTTGGAGGGCATGGTGTGATCTGATATTCAACTAACTTAAAATGAAAACAGTATGAACATCGACTGGATTTTACTTGAACATCGGTCAACTTCTTTTTTTTTTTCAACAACTTGATGTTATTTGTATAGAATTTGATATATTCAAAGCAAATGTTTATACACATAGAGATAGACAGTTGACCTAAAGCTTGAAAATATACATTTAAATTACATTATCAAAGTAATTGTATCTATTTTGTAAAATCAAAAGTGAACACAGGACATACAACAATTCATAGCTAACCCTAATATCTACTGATGTAAAGTGCAAGGTGTATTGGGGGGGGGGGGGGGGGAGGAGGGGGTGGGCTGTAAAATGGCAGAACATCCAAGCTCCCTCCCCCTTCTTTTAAGAAAAAAAGGGGAATGAAAAATATGCAGAGATTAAACAAAAAAGTCAAAGTAATTTTGTTGCTAACGTTTTTATCCTGACACCTCCTTTTCAATTGAGCAAGTCTGGGGGGCAGATAGATTCCCAAAATCATGTTCCTTTGGGAAAACTACCCCCCCCCCCTCCCTCAATCCTGGATACACCCATACACATGACATCAATCAATGGTTGTATGACACATGCTCCTAAGACAATTGCTCCACAGTAATGATCTAAACTTACCAAAGTCCTAACTTCAACCCTTGACCCAAAGCCTATACCTACAAAATAGAATGTGTAACCCTAATCCTAACCTTAAACATAACCTAAAACCTGCATGCAACCATAGCCCTAACCCTATACTTTTGATCATATAGAGCCAGGAGAAAAAGATGTTAGATCACCCAATCAATAGCTTACCCTTTCCTGTAGGTTGCCTAGGTAACCAAGGTAGAGTCTGATGACCTCCACACCGGTCAGTACCACATACATGGTGATGCTGATAAACTGATAGATCTGATTCAGATGGGCAAACTGAAGGCAAAGATAAAGAGAGTCAGAGAAAGGGAGGGAGGGGGAGAGAGAGGGATGAAAGATGGAGAAATTAGCTAAGTTTGGGTTATAATCATACATTTTTTAATTTTTTAAAATTTACTTTTAAGGCCCCACTACACTACTTATAGCTACTTGCGCTCTCTTTATAGCAAACAATGCCTAATCGGTGACCATTGGTCCCCCACGATCCTCTTTTTCTTATGTTAATTCATAACCACCTGTCAGTGACCATGCAGGGAGGTTTAATCCCTCCTGGCCAAAATGTAGCTATCAGATTAGTGTGAAATTTCTAGTTTTTAATAAATTTACAAGAAATTTAAGGTGACTTTGGGCTCATTTGCATGCAGCAGTAAAACCATGAGTATTTTTGTGTATTAAATCATGGACCTATTACGGATGGACATTCAACGTGATTCTTTCTTTGATCCAATGATAGTCGCCGCCTTTTGATTATGTGCATCTTAATGAGAACATTCAGCTGTTTTAACAATAACGACTGCGTAAGCATTTTCGGTCATTGACAAAGGAGCAGTTTCCCTCTCTTGGGTTTTGTTTGGATGGTGTGCTCTGTAAGAGTGTCTTAAAGTAGATATTCAGTGAATTTAATAACTAATTTTATGTTCATTATTGCAAAGTTGAAACTTTGATTCAAAATTCAATGTTTGAAAATATTCAAAGTAATGATTATTATAAATTACAAAACGCTTAAATACAGCCCTGGCATAGCACCTGAAGAGCTCTCCGAACGCTGCTGATATGTGTGAGATCACAGTATGGACATGATGTGCACAAGCAGACGATGTCTCATGACTTCTCACACATTTTCAGTGCCTGTGTTTTCATCTTCTCTCGAGTTCTTTCTCTTACTTCACTGCCGTCAGGCTAAATGTACAATCTATTGCCTCACTCTTAACCCCGCGCATGGTTTTATTTTGATGACAAATGCAGCGATACAAAAATAAAGGAATATGTCGCTTGTAAACAAAATAAGACGCTATTGTATATTCAGCTGCACACCGCGGTATGTTCGGCGTTCCAAGAGGGAACAAATGCCGTACTTAGTATCATTCCGGGGGGTTTTCAATTTAAAAGTCTGGTTTCTTTGATTGTTAATTAACCCCTATCCTGTGTACTTACAAGCAAAAGATTTTAGTTATCAGAATCAGGTCATATCCCCTTTTGAATGGTTTGACATGCCATTACACTTATATACACTAAACTCATTATAATTTGACAAATAATAGCTTTGCAATTATGTTCATTCTTTATGGGATGTCGTCTGCTTGGGAAGTATTGGTCCATATAGTGACGTCATTAAAACATCGTTATTTTTCCGGCGAATCTCTCGTATATCCCAGCTGCTATGGAGGTGGTTGTATTTGTATTTTTATAAATCACCCGATATGTAGTTCGACCTAAAACTTGTACGATGGCCATCTGTTAGCTTACCAGTTTCTAGTGATACTTTAATTGAAATATTTGTGATTTTCTTTGAATTTCACCTTTAAATAAAAGCATCCCCAATGGGGAGCAGCAAAGTTAAAAAGCAGACAATTTTGGTGATATGAAATGTATTATTACTGATTCACAAACTTTCGCACACACCTATGACCTTAAAAAACAATTAGAAGGCCATGATCTGTATCAGCCCTGTGCGTTGTAACTCTGGAATATTATGAGGAAATAGGGGGAAACAGGATTTTAAATCACAACCAAAAAATCACAAAATAACCTCTATCTGGTAATATCAACATGTTTTTCAAAATAAAATACATGTACAGTACACGGAACAACAATTTCCGATTATAAGCCAGAACTGCACATCGATTTTCCATGATTTAGGCGAGTAATTATCTTCTGCGCATGTAGATTAACATGTGTAAAATCACTATCTTGATTCTGTCCCGGCTTTTTGGCGGCGACCATGATGAGATCAAAGTGAAGAAAACTGTACAGAATGTTATTGAGACGACATTGACGGAGACAATCACAATGAATTCGTTAAGAAAACGATGAATGTCCATCCGTAATAGGTCCATGATTAAATGAATGGCAAGTGTAGTTGAAAAAAGTAGCTGAACCCAACAAAAGTCCTATGTATACTCACTGATATGTGTGTTATATAGTACAATAAGCCACCCCCCCCCCCACCTCCTTCTTCACCATAAAATAGTCTGCAAGCACAGATTCTAATTTGACACTTTACCACAATTCCTACAGCCTTGAGCAGAGCCTAGATTTTCTAGTGTCTAGCCTTGTCCAAAGCAGGTTAAGAACAGAGCCTATTGCAGTCTCATTTCGCAGACACTGTTACACCCAACTTCTAACAAGAGTTTCGGCCCGCAACTACCCATAAACAGCTACAATGTACTACAGCATATGTGAACAGAACCTTTATCGGTATAGTTTTGAGCCAACAGGTCATGGATGGTAGGAGAGATCACTAAGATGGATACCTTTAATTGCAGCATGACAACACAGGTTACAACCCAGATCGGGAAGAAGAAGGCATTGAAGTAGAGAGAAACCTGGAGAGGCAAGCTGGATACTAACTCATTTCCTGCAATAAACAATAGAAAAATATTGATATTTAGTATGCTAAATGCACATTTCCATATATATCTCAAAAAAATTGATAAGAGTTTGAAAATCTGAAAAACATCAAGGCAAAAGGCACCAAATTAGCTTTTGACAAAAGATCAGCATATCTTTCTGTATTTTGTATTTATTTTGAATAAATATGAACTCAATGACAAGGGTCAGGAAATCTTAATTTCGAAAATTCAAAACTGAAAGAAAAATATGATAGACCTACCAACTGACAGTTTGATATTTTACTTTACATCTGGTGCAGTTAACTTGCCTTTGACTTTTATAGGTCAATATTTGGGATAAATCTGCTGTAAAATGACGTTTAGACTTGTTGTTTATATAATTTTATTTAATTTGTAGTGCATTGCATTCTGACATAATATTTTGTGATCATAGCTTAAAAAAATGTCTACCTACGCCAACTAGAACTTTCTTAAATTATGATTTTTGCTTTCAATTTGGCATGGTATTAATTGATTTGAATAAACTTTTGTAAAAAACATCTACAGGAAATCATGGATAAAATTTTGCAATCCTTAAGTAGATCCTAGAATGATATGAAGATAAAAAGTACAAGTGGGCGGAAAGTTTGGCACCCCATCATCTTTAAATTCTTCATATTTCTCAACCCTATACAGGCTCCTTCAGAACACACATAGAAACACATAGAGTGCTAACTCTAGGGAGCTCCACCGCAGAAGGTGACAGAGCTCCAGAGCCTGCATACAAAAGCGAAACAGCGGGTTGCGTCATATTCTTTCAAAATGTAAATAGACCCAAGTATTATTAGGGTGTCTGATCGCGCACTCTGTTTTGTGTGCTAAAATCCTTCCCATAGAGATTGCACACATCCCTATGCAGTCCATGTGCATTGCGCGCTCATGCTAAATTGGTCGATGTTTTTATTACCAAAATGAGATTCAAACCAATATTGCTCGTGATCCTGAAGGTGATACTCAATAAGTGAGGTGTCATATGAAAGAGCAGGTTTTTCTCCATAATTCCCCATAGGAGCCCACCCCCACATTTCTAAAAATATCTTGCTCAAAACAGCGATTTAAACATTGTTTCCATGGTAACTCGAAGATTTACCAATTTCACGAAGTGCTCCCACGAGGGATAAGTTGGGCCAGCTGTAAAGAATATATCCATGCCAGGGAAAAATCAATATTTCTTTTTCTGAGGCTACTTTTCAAGCTTGCCTGCATGAAAATAATATTCTAAAATTTGTTTTACATTGAACTCTGTGCAAATTTACAGGGCTCTTTTCTGATTTTCGGGGGCTCTATTGGGCATTTCGGGGGCTATTTTGCCCCGAGCCCCAGCATATTTTTTTCACTGATCCATGCACTTATTTTTTCTCTAGTCCCAAGGGATGACAAGCAGTTTCAGTTTGAAAATACCCTTACTTCACGCTTTGCATATCGTGCTGTGCATTAGCTGTGCAGCTTTTGAGCAAAATTATACCTCTGCGTGAACAACTTTTTTGTGCATTCTGACCAAAATGCTATGAATATTGCAGAGTTTTTGAGGGGCTGTATCTTTTGATAGAAACATCGGTGAGTCTTGATATTTGGGCGCTTGTTCAGAAACCTATCCAAAATTTGACCCGTAAGTCCGGCGTGGAGATACCCTACTAAAACATACCCAAAATGAAGTAAATATTCATTAAATGTCCAAATAAAGATCATGACTAAAAGTCGTTATGTTCATTACCTGTTTTGTGTCAATTTTCATGTTGTTTTTTTTTAGTATTTTTTGGAAAAATGTTGATATTAGTATACACTTTTTCACAGGTTTCACAGAAAACCGCTGCACAATACAAGTGCATACCAAGGGTGGGTTGCACAATTGCACCCCTCAACCCAGGATCAGTATGCACTTGTAATACTACTAGTCGTAGAAGTCTATTCTGCAGCGGTTTGCCGTGAAACCCTGAAAATGTCTATATGAAGGGGTAACCAAAGTTGGCAGATATTTTTCTTTTCTTGCACATTACAAAACATCCAGATCAACATATATCGTGTTCCATACGTCATAAGAATCGTAATTTATCATATAATCAGATTATATAACATTCCAAGGCTGTATTTACTTCAAACCAATGATAGGACGAGAATATCGGAAGGCTTACCACTATCGAAGTCTGTCAAAAAGTGTGACCTAAGTTCATGCATGATATTTACTGCCCTCTTGTGATGGGCTTTAGATATTTAAACATTCCAAAAAGGGACATAAAATTTCAATCAGAAGCCAAACTTTATATTGAAACTTTTAAAAAGATAATAATTTCTCTCTATCATTGAGATTTTGCTCGAAAAAAATACCCTTGTTAAATTTTGCAAATAAAAGACAATACTTTTCATTGTTTATGTGTTAATGACAATGTAGACTAGTCCCTATCTGCATGTTATTTGTTTGTTTAAAAAGTTTATCATGCGTCTCCTTTTTATATGTCAGCCATACACAAGTTCTCGCTCTTTTCTCTCTTTGTCTCTCCACTTTCCCGTTTTAAATTTGTATTCTTACGAAACCCATAGATTCATTGAAATTTACAAGTACGGTGGAAGCAGGCGCGCAGGTTCCGTTTTTTGCGTAAGAAATTTGAATTTTATCATTATTTTTTTAGAGTCAATCCTTCTAATAAAATGGCATTTATATTAAAAAAAAAAAAACTTGTTATGATAAAAAGTGTGGAAAAGCTAGCTTATTCACATTTTTATGTCGCATTTTAACCTTTGGAGTTGTCGACGGTGCTCAAAGATTTTGTTGTCTCAGTCCCACACAGGCATCGTGTAACGTTCTCCTGTTATACGCACTTTTAGTGTTAGTATGTGAACTTTGGTCACACACAAACTTTGGTCACACTACTCCAGCAAAGCACAGAGAGTCAATGCCAATGCGTATTAACCTCTAGCACTGCATGCTTGCTGTGCGGCGGGTATTTTTAGACCCATGATACACAAATACACACACCACACAATATTGCATAGACTGTACACAATCATGTCAATGCAGCTGTACGTGTAAGCAAAGTTTGACACTAGACTTACAATTTGAATTTTTAAATTATTCTTTTTAACATCAGTAAGTTAAAAAAAAATGTATTTTACTGCTATTTAGGTGTCATCAATTGTCACTAAAGTACTGATTTTGAGTGAAATCAGTTGAGTTTTGTACAGTGGTGTTTGATATGTTGAGAATCAAAAGCACAGCTTTTACTACACAGCCAGGATAGTGTTGCTCCTATGTGTGGGCCACACCCCCGGGGGGGGGGGGGGGGGGGGGGGGTACTCACGTACATGGGGTATACGGGGATGTGCCGCTCGGAAGGGTGACTTTTTCAGGAAAGATCCTTAGACATGGGTCCCCTTTTCATTAAAAAATCCTTAGACATGGGTCCCTTTTTTCATTTATTCCTTTCCCCTCTTTTCTCCCTCATTTTCTCTGGGATTTTGGGATTTTCTCCTACATTGCAAATGCCTAAATCTCTCCCATCTCTAAATAAATGAATCCTTCGGTTGATTGCATTTCCAGTGTACAAGGTGTACGCACTGACCTCTAAGTCAGTAGCTCGTAAACTCAACTAGATCCCGGGGTACCACATATATCACGACCCCATGGGCTCTATACCGGGTACTCATATGGCATAATGCGCGCTAGGTATGGTATCCGCCCGTATAGGGGTCGTACCCCCGGAAACTTGTAGCGCTTTGCACGCTGAAAATGATATGATCATCAGCTATACCCTGCGTACCCTCTGTCCAGCAGCCGGGCAGCAGCGGGGCTCAAGCAGGGAGCTATATAGCCAATGCTTGAGAGCTCGTGTACGGGTACGTTAATTGAAACAGGAAAAGTCCTTCAATTAGAACAGATGCTAGAGGTGCTAGCACAGTATAATTATGTTGCATGGTGTTTTCATCTTTATGTGTGTAAACTACTTGTAAACTACATGTTGTATGGTACAGTTTACTAATAAAGAATTTTATCGAGAAACTGCAAAATTTTTGGCCATTGTATTAATACACACATAGGTGCATTACTATCCTGGCTGTGTATTAAAAGCTGTGCTATTGATTCTCAACATTTCAAACACCACTGTATAAAACTCAACCAATTTCACTAAAAATCTATACTTTAGTGACAATCGATAAGATCTAAATAGCAGTAAAATACATTTTTTCAACTTTCCGATGTTAGAAAGAATAATATAAAAAATCAAATTGTGAGACCACTGTCGAACTTGCCGATCAGCCGCATCGGCATGATTGTGTGCATCTCTGTGTTATGAGTGTATTGATTATTCATGTATTTAAATGCTGCCTATTAACGCGTAGTGCAGTGCTAAAGGTCAATATGCATTAGCGTTGACTCTCCATATGCTTTGCTGGAGTGTATTATTACAGCTTAAAAAATGTCTAGATCTATTTGACGTTTGAAATCCTTAGACATGGGTTTCATTTTTCACAAAAAATCCTTAGACATGGGTACCTATTTCAGCAAAAGGACCCTAGGATGTGGGTATGGGTTCGGAGGTCTCAGCCGCACACCCCCGTCCGACTATAATCTGAGTACCCCCCCCCCCCCCCCCCCCCCCCGGGGTCACACCACCATACTATTATCATCGTTTTTCCGAAAAATACTCCAAAAATAACAATAAAATTGACACAAAACAGGCAACATAGCAACTTTTAACTCATGATCTTTATCTGGACATTTAATGATTATTTAATTCATTTTGGGTATGTTTTAGTCGGGTAGCTCCACGCCGGAATTAAGGGTCAACTTTTGGATACGTTTCTGAACAAGCGCCAAATCGTTTGCCGATGCAAGCTTTGGAGCTCCGAGTTTATAGAGCGCTTAGTCACCTATCAAGTATCATAGTTCATACAGCAAACACAATGAACAGTGCATGGGGCTTAATCGTAAAGTTTGAGCTTCGTAACAAATGATTTCTCACCTGGTCTTAACATGTGATGCTGACGTTTTACAGCATTTCGTGTGGGAAATACAGCTTCTGTAAAAGTCGTGAGTTTCTGCCTCATATAATCACCAGCCATGTTGACTTAGAGACCTTCACTTGCTTTTCGACTTTATTTTATTTTCAACCGACGGCGACGAACAAAAATATTTATGGTGTCTTCCACAGTACAAAATAAAATGATAATAAAAAAGCTTGGTAAAGAGGAGTGGGCAAATTATGCTCATCACAAAAATAAATAATTATCTGAAGGGTGCATATCGTTTATAACAAGGAAGTGCTTGGCTCATTTGAGAGCGTCAAAAAAAAATTATTCATTAGATCTCATTAAAATTCAAATGTTAAAAACGCTTCCAAATTGTTCATCAGTTAGTAGAAATAAACATCAGTTTAAGCTTTATATCTATAGGCCTTCATTTCAGTTTAAAACCTTGTTACATGAAGAATCTTAACGATATATTTTGCAGTAGTCAGTGGTGTAGTTAGCCGGACATTTTGATGGGCCTGAGCTATAGTAATAATATTCTCAAGCACCAGGAACACAATAACACAACTCAGGGAATAATCCTCCCCTTCCCGTGACTCAGAAGACGTTGGATCTCAAGTTGTATTCCCCGGTGGGGTCACTCAATGTGACTTCCGGACCGCATGACCGTTACCAAAATCGCGGAAAAAGGGGTCAATTTCAAGCAATGTCCGCGGACAAAATATTCCTCGAAATAAAGAAAATAGGGGTGCACAGGTGTCCTCGAAATTGATAAATAGGGGTCAGGAAAAGGGAAAAGAGAAAACCGGGAAGGGAAAAGAGAAAACCAGGAAGAAAAATTCTCGGAGCCGAGTCTTGTCCTTAAAATATGGTAAAATAGGGGTAAATTTGCGAAAGTGTCCTTACAATCTTATAAATAGGGGTATTCCAAAGTACGATTTTGTCCTTGTTTTGACGTAAAAAAGGGGGTTAAATTTCACAAAATGTCCTTGAAATTGACCGCAAAAGGGGGTTATATGCATTTGTGGTAACGGTCATGCGGTCGGGAAGTCACATTGAGTGACCCCACCGGGTTGTATTCGCGATTTTTTTTTTCCTTCAAATTTTTGTATTTGATTTTGTGTCACTCTGTATGTCAACATATCATTTAAGTTATTCCCAATACTTCTCTCCAATTTTAATAATACTGGTAAATCAAGAAGCATGACAATGTCGATCGTGGAGTAAAAGTGTGCACAATTTTATTCACAAAATGCTTGATTTGGCCAAAATAGTTATTTATCATGCAAACAATAGCTAATTATTAGAACACATGGCTACTATTTTGTATTAGCTACACGAGCTAGAAGGGATTAGACCACCCAGCCACGTCAATGACAGGTGGCTATCTCATCAACTCAGCTCTCAACTAACATAAGAAAAAGAGGATCATGGGGGACCAACAGGCACCGATTGGGGAAGTTTTCTATAATAGAGGGAGGCAAGTAGCTACAAGTAGGACAGTGGGGCTTCACATGAATTAACGCATTATACACATTATTATCATATTAAGGGGAAATACAATTTTTCAACGATCCGATAAAGAAAAAGGAACATAATTTATCAAATTAATCTAGCCTCCATGCGAGAGTCTTTCCCTTTTTTTTTTTGCAGTTTATGAGAAAATACAAATAGATATTTCAAGAAAATTTGTTATCAGACCTTTTCCTAAATTCATATTTTGCCACATCACACCCCTCTTCATCAATAATCATAATGAACGCCCCAGTTTTGGTTTTAGTAAAAAGAAAAGGGAATAATACTCGAAAGACAAATCACAAAGTTGCCAATCTGCGTTCAGATTTTTTTTTTTTTTTTTTTTTTTTTAAGTCGTGAATTTCTTAGTCCGTGTCGGATTCTCATCAAACTTTCACTAATATGCAAATCTTTTATTCCTGGATTTTTATTGACAATATAAGTGGACGAGATGGGGCCGGACTGCCGCAGCCCCCCCCCCCCCTTCCCTCCCACTCCCGGATTTTCCAATATTATGGCAACCACAAATATTTTGGCTCCCATGAACAGATATCCACATTTAAGCAGCGAAGTGACTGAATAGTCTCATCTTTGGGCAACAATTAGTGCTTGTAAATTTTCATTTTGAAATGAGTCAGAAAAAAGAATCTATGTCGGGCAAAAACCACCAGCCCCCCCCCCCCCCTCCCCTATTCCCTCACGCATCCACTACAAAGTTATCCTGCTCACATTTAAAGCAATCCATGGCCTTGCTCCTACTTAGGCCTACCTATCCAAATTGATAGCCCAATATATACCAACCAGATTACTCAGATCTGCCTCGCAAAACCTGCTAGTAGTAAATAGGAGTAGAGCAAAATCTTTCGGTGACAGGTCCTTTGAATGTGCTGCACCCAGGCGCGGATCCAGGGGGGGGGCCGAGCGGGCCTTGGCCCCCCCCCCCCCCCGCAAAAAAAAAAAAAAAGAGAGAGAAGAAAGGAAAAGAAGGGAAAGGGAAAGAGGAGAGAAAGGGAAAGAAAGAAGAAGAAGAAGAATAAAAGAAAAGGGGGAAGAAGGAGATCGGAGGGACCGAAAGGGCCTTTCCTCCCAGGCTGTTGACCCCCCCCCCCCTCCAATCAAAAAAATAAGAGAGAAGGAAGGAAAGGGAAAGAAAAAGGGAAAAGAGGAGATACTGGCGTACTAATAGGGGGGGGGGGCTTTGGGGGGAAATCAAATTCAAACGTGGTTTATTTATAATTCCACAACGGTGGATTACAAATAATGCTGAAATGACATAATTTCCGAGATTTGTCCTCACTTTTTAGTAAATTATACGTTTGTATATGTGTTTGTTGGAAAATGACAAATTCCTAAATTTACAGCCAGGCACGAAATATGATTCTTGAGATTCCTACATGTCAGGGCCCGAGGTACGGCAGGGATCGGGAGCCTCGAGCTCCCTCCCCCCCCCCACTTTATTTGAAAAAGTATATTAAAGAGAAAAAAAATAGAATGAGCGCAAGAAAGAACGAATAGTTAACTGCCAGTGTTAAAAAATGAGTCATCAAAATATGCTCATCTGACCGTGATTAAATGCCTAAAACCCTTAAGCTTCCGGGGCTCTGCCCCCTGGATTCCACCTAGGGCGCTACGGCGGGCCCTTAGATGCTCATCTGACGGTAATTTAATGCCTAAAACCCCGCTTTTGGGGGGATCCGCCCCCTGGACCCCACGCCAAATAGTGACCTGCCAGTGTCACAAAATAATAGGTATTAAAAAAAAATGATCATCTGACCTTAATTAAACGCCTAAAACCCCTGAGCTTCCGGAGCCGGACCATTTATCAAAATGTGTTTATCTGACCGCAGGCGCGTAGCCAGCCAGGGGGGGGGGGGGGGGGGCGGTCCCCCAAATCGGAAAAGGACGTAGAAAGTAAAAGGAGCAGACAAAGAAAATCTTTGAAATTCAGACAAGGATAAAGAGTAGAGAACGGTACAACGTATCGTCTTCTTTCTCTAATAATTTAATGAAACGTCAAAGCTACGCGCAGGAGGGGAGTGGAGGGGGGGGGGGGGGACTGAATTCAGACAAGGATTAAGAATCGAGAACGGTACAGTGAATCGTCTTCTTTCTCTCATAATCTTATGAAACGTCAAAGCTTTTGCGCGGGAGGGGGGAACCTGAATTCAGACGAGGATTCAGAGGCGAGAACGGTAATAATAATCTTTAATGAAACGTAAAAGCTTCCGCCTTTTGCGCGAGGTTGGAGGGGGAACTAAATTCCGACGAAGATTATTTTCGAGAACGGTACAACGAATCTTCTTTTTTCTCTATTGATTTAATGAAAATTAAAAGCTTCCGCGCGGGGGGGAACCTGAATTCAGACGAGGATTAAGATTCGAGAACTGTACAGCCAATCGTCTTCTTTCTCTCATAATCTTATGAAACTTAAAAGCTTCTGCGCTTCGCGCAAGAGGGGGGGGGGGACCTGAATTCATACGAGGATTAAGAGTCGAGAACCCTACAACGAATCGTATTCTTTCTTTAATAGTTTAATGAAACGTCAAAGCTTCCGCGCTTCGCGCGGGAGGGGAAAAACTAAATTCAGATGAAGATTTTGAGTCGAGAACGGTACAGCGAATCGTCTTCTTTCTCTAATGATTTAATGAAACGTAAAAGCTTCCGCGCTTCGCGCGGGAGGGGGGAACCTGAATTCAGACGAAGATTAAGAGTCGAGAACTCTACAACGAATCGTCTTCTTTCTCTCATAATCTTATAAAACTTAAAAGCTTGGGGGGGGGGGAAACCTGAATTCAGACGAGGATTAAGATTCGAGAACTGTACAGCCAATCGTCTTCTTTCTCTCATAATCTTATGAAACTTAAAAGCTTCTACGCTTCGCGCGGGAGGGGGGGGGGGGGACCTGAATTCATACGAGGATTAAGAGTCGAGAACCCTACAACGAATCGTATTCTTTCTTTAATAGTTTAATGAAACGTCAAAGCTTCCGCGCTTCGCGCGGGAGGGGAAAAACTAAATTGAGATGAAGATTTTGAGTCGAGAACGGTACAACGAATCGTCTTCTTTCTCTAATGATTTAATGAAACGTAAAAGCTTCCGCGCTTCGCGCGGGAGGGGGGGAACCTGAATTCAGACGAAGATTAAGAGTCGAGAACTCTACAACGAATCGTCTTCTTTCTCTCATAATCTTATAAAACTTAAAAGCTTGGGGGGGGGGGGAATCTGAATTCAGACGAGGATTAAGATTCGAGAACTGTAAAGCCAATCGTCTTCTTTCTCTCATAATCTTATGAAACTTAAAAGCTTCCGCGCTTCGCGCGGGAGGAGGGGGGGGGGAACCTGAATTCAGACGAGGATTAAGAGTCGAGAACGGTACAACGAATCGTCTTCTTTCTCTAATGATTTAATGACACGTAAAAGCTTCCGCGCTTCGCGCAGGAGGGGGAGGGGGGAACTGAATTTAGACGAGGATTAAGAGTCGAGAACGGTACAACGAATCGTCTTCTTTCTCTAATGATTTAATGAAACGTAAAAGCTTCCGCGCTTCGCGCGGGAGGGGGGGGGGGAACCTGAATTCAGACGAGGATTAAGAGTCGAGAACTCTACAACGAATCGTCTTCTTTCTCTCATAATCTTATAAAACTTAAAAGCTTG